TCGTATTCTTCACTTTCTGATAATGGAATGTTGCAGATATTTAGTTTTTTAATTAAATGATTATATGGAACTCTAAAAAAATGTTCTCGCATATTAATGGCTATTTATTCATTTTCGCAAATACTGAAATTTACGTAATATAGTATAAAACTCATTGAAAAATTGTCAAGACGACATTTGATAAATTCTTCCAATGTATTCGTTATTAAGGGTTTCACTGTATATACGTCCTCATTGCGTGCATCCTTTTTGTATAAACGTCCTCACAATCACATGAATGCATCCTAATTATATATGCGTCCTATTAACTGCATGCATCCTCAATATATTTGCGTCCTATTAACTGCATGCATCCTCATTAAATTGCGTCCTCATCGCATGGATCCTCATTATACTTACGTCTCAACTGCATGCATCCTTATTATATATGCGTCCTCACTGCATGCATCCTGATGGAAAACTGGGTAATTAGAAGACGACTTTTAGACTCTTGTTTGACAAAAAAACCAATTGGCTAAAACAGATTTGTTGACAGATAACAGCAACACGCTAGACAAATCCGGATAATAGGCCGGGTAGGATTTTGAAAGGGGGGTTTATTATCCCCAGACGATTATTTCCCGATGGCCGAACAATACACACACAACAGAGTACCCCGTCACAGAAATTCGATAACAAAATCTTTATTTCCTAAAAAATAACATAAATTATAGGTCATGTTGAATTGTACAATGTTATAATGAATGTTAATAGTGGAAAAAATCTTACGAATTATTTAAGTATGGAAGGGGTGATTTATTTGTTGGTCAGTATTGAAATACGTTTTTAACTTCTGAAAAAAATTACAGTTGAATATTTAACGAAATTCACTTATGCTTCTTATGAAAATATTTTGCTTAACTTTAATGATTTCACAACAACGAAATATTTCAAGCTCCGTCGGAGGAGGACAATGGAATTAGCGGGCTGAAATTTGGTTTGGCTGTCTCCGACAGGAGATTCCAGTAGAAGACGACATTTTACAGAGGTTTTGAAATTAATGGTTAACAAGATTTCTCCAAACTGTTTGGGTTTATTGCTGTTCGCTCCTGATTGGTTAAAGTAATTAACTGTTGTTTTGTTACACTGAATATATATTTACGGTGGGTGACAAATTAAATTGCATTTTTTCATAGTGATCAAAAATCAATGAGATATATGCCCAACAAACAAAAACCCGTGAAGAACACAAGATTATTTGGCTTTTTTCACACAAGTGACCCGTCAATATCCCGTGATAATTCACGTGTTGTCGAGGTGAATGTCGACGATTTGAGCAGTGGTCTAGGACCGAGTTTTTGCACGGTTAACTTGAGTTTATTTCACCAGATGAACACGGGATTTTTACATGAGAAAATCATTTTTCTCTCATCTACTTTAATTACATTTTTTTTAAACCCCGGGAAAGGGGGGGATATATAATTGATTTCTGATATGTAAATATCTTATAAAATATTCTGTGTAAAAGTATATGATTATTACAAAATGTTTAGAAACTAAACATTTTACTTTATAACTTTTACATTAAACATCTTGAACATGTAAACTTTAAACTTTTCTTATCACAAAGTGATATTACAAGTCTAAATAATGTTCAATTCAATTATGTTAATGTGTTCATAAATGTAAGAATTCTCCTTCCTGTATATATCTAAAAGATTGATATTCCAAAAAGGGGTTGTTGAGAAATACAATACAAAATTTAATGTGAAACTTTTCTATGCTCTGCTCATGCTTGTTATAATCTACAAAAATTAATGTCAGTTAACATATTTCATTTTACTATAACAATAAACTTTTATTTTCTAAAAGATAAGCAGAGACACCAAGTGTTGTGATTTTGCAACTCTGTTAAAAATGAAACATGAAGTTTTCCCGTGATATCTCAAATATTTTACGCGTGATATTTACAAGAATTAAAATCTAGATATTCTGGCGCGGCATTCCATTACTCATGATTAACACGTTGGAAACATGCGAGAGCTTGCACTGGTATCTTTGCTACGAGCAAAACATGTGAAAAAACTTCAAGAACTAAACTACAGAACTATCTCAAAAATACGAGAATTAAAATCTAAAAATTCTGACATTGCATTACTCGAGTTTAACACGATAGGAATATGCAAGATCTTGCACTGATTTATTTTGCTAATCTCGTTGAAAACCTGTGTTTTGTTTGTTGGGTATAGACCTTATAAAATTAAGCTATAAATAACTTCTTTATATTTCTAAAATCGCCATGCTTTAGGACTTAAAAAATATTTGCATGTTAGAAATGTAGAATCAAAGATATAAGGTGTTGCGACACTTCAAATTTGATCCAGCCTTAAAAGTTGATGCAACATTTCATAGTTCATAATGTAGTATTCTTAATTTTCTGATGATGGAATACTGCAGATACAGGGTGTCTCATGAAACATGACAGATGGTGAATAGTTTTCAATGTCTTCTTCCATAATACTGTATTAGTTATTTAAGACTTTTTTGAGTTTATTTCGTTAAACAAATCTTTTACTCAAATATATATATTTGTTTGAAATCAATTTTGCTATTATATTACTGCCATTTAGGATTTCTTATCATCATCTCTAGTATCAAACAAATTATTTAATTATGGAAAAAGACATTTTAAACAATTCACCACCTGGCAAGTTTTGTGGACACCCTGTGTTTAGTTTTTGATTATATGGAGCTATGGGATGATAATGATTTCATTCTTTTGAAAAACGATCGTTTCGGTATGAAAGTGACGGCGAAAAATTGAAAACGAAACGATCGTTTTTAAAAACGAGCGTTTTATTCAAAAGTTATTTTTTTAAATGGTCGTTTTTAAAACAATCGTTTTTCAAAACGATAGTTTTTATAAAATTCGTCGTTTCGTTAACGATGAACCTTCGTTAACGTTCGTTAACGACAACCCTTAGTTAACGATCGTTAACGACAACCCTTAGTTAACGATCGTTAACGACAACCCTTAGTTAACGATCATTAACGACGACCCTTCGTTAACGATCATTAACGAAGAGAGGAAACCGACCTGAAGGGCATCTGTACTAATCATTGAGTAGTTTTTAAGAAAATATCAAGAAGTTTTAGCTCCCCCACAACTGTTAAACTTCATGTAAGATGGCATTCAATAAAGTTGCATGTAATTTTTTTTCTCAAAAACTACCTTTTTTTATAAAGTTCGAAGTCCTACGTTAACGATCGTTAACATAATTGGCCATAATTTTTTTTCAAAAATGAAAGTTTTTTCAAAAATTATCGTTTTTTGAAAAACAATCGTATAAAAACGATCGTTTTCAAATTCGTTTTCTAAAAGTTCAAAACGAGTGGGTCGTTTTTAAAAACGATCGCTCTTGAAAACGATTGAAAAACGAAACAAAAAACGATTAACAACCCTGTAATGGAGCTCTCTAAAACTGTTCCAGCATATTCATGGCTTTTTATTTATGTTTGTAATTACTGAGATTAACGTATATATTTGGCATAAAATCATTGAAAATTGTCAAGACGACATTTCATAAATTATTTCGTTGACTCAAAATCTCTTGGGTTAATTGTAGCAAACAGGATCTATATGTGAATGTAACATTATTATTATAAAATAGACGAATTCTCTAGTTTCAGCACAATTTATTTAATTCTACACATAACACATTTATAATACAGTTATACAGTTCAACAATTGATTATAATCATCTATCAATCAATCAATCGATTTCTTGAGATTCGACAAGGAAGATAAACACACGCAATACTCGATTAAATAGAAGAAGATTTAGAAATAAGAGAATTTTTAAATTCCCTTATTTTAGACAAAAAGCACCAAATATCCCGAGATTGAAAGAAAAAGAATGAAAAGAAATAGAATAATTATGTTTATACAGATTAAACAAACAATATACAAAAAAGGGGTTCGATTCAAAAATAAACTTATCGCTCAAAAGTTAATTTTGAAATGTAAAAACTTAAAAAAGATGTTTTTGAATATTTTTTTTTCAAAAAGTTGTATATTTTTTTTAATTGTTATTTTAATTTTTTGTCTAAATTTCATAACAAAGTTTTAAATAAAACCATCCGCCCTGAAGTGAGAACTATTGTGGTAAGGATCTCGGGATCAATAATTGATCTCTAAACACACCTACGGATTAAATTAATTCCTCTGCAATATCCCCCGATGGTATTACCTTACAGGGATAACCTTAATCAAGCATTGATCCTCAAAATTATAAGTGTTCACATTCGTATATGGAGATCAAGCTTTCAAGATTAACGATATCCACACAAAAGTTCAGATCTCAGGTTTAGTAGTTTTTGCGGTTGCTCGTATTTTTGGACACCATGTACATAATCTCGTATTTTTGGATACCATGTACATAATCTCGTATTTTTGGACACCATGTACATAATCTCGTATTTTTGGACACCATGTACATAATCTCGCATTTTTGGACACCATGGACATAATCTCGTATTTTTGGACACCATGTACATAATCTCGTATTTTTGCACACCATGTACATGATCTGGAATTTTTGACACCATGGACATAATTTGATATGTTTGTTTCTTCTCCTTGAATGTATTGTTTTAGATTTAAAAAAGATCCGGTGTCCTAAGTTTGGAACTTAAAATCAGACAGAACCCTGAGCTGAAAACTTTTGAATGGAATATCCTTAATCCCGATCGGCTAATTAATCTGGAGATTAATAATAAGAGAACAGGCATTATTTTATCTTGAGATTAAGAAAAAGAAGAGATCAAGCATAAATCTCGATATCCACCATTCTAAAGTTTTCAGCTCAGACTTCATTAATGGAGGGAGACAATTTTGTATATCAGAGGTTTTTAGATACTTGAATAAAAATCTACAGAAATGTACATACCCCCAAAAGAGAGATAAACAATACCATTATTAGTTTCATTGACATATTTTCTTAATTTGCTGGGTTTTTTAACCTCCGTAGCTTTTTGGACGAACTAAGGCCACGGGAGAGATTTTGATTTTAACTCCAGTGGAGCAATCTACTCGAAATTAAATCAGTTCCAAAGAAGAATCTACATCAATGAAATTAACCCATTTAAATCATAAAGATTCCTATTGTCAGTTGTGGAATCCATCTGAAGTTAGAGCATATCAGGAATCTACTAGAAATTAGTCCATATGGGTATCTACTAGAAATTGAACCCATCTCCTGTAGGATCTAGAATCCAGGGATAGTGAGTTGGACACTGCATACAGGTGTGAAGACGAAGTGTTTCTCCGGGTAGTTCCCTGGTAGTTAAGGGGCAGGGGTTGGATAGGGAACACAGGGGCTGTCCCTAAAATATTATAAATATATTTGACAAGTCTGTCTGTTGGCATTCAATAAGCTTATTTTTAAAAATGTTCGAAACCAAATTCATGTAAATAAATTAGCAAATATGTTAGATCCAATAATAAATCAATAATAAATCAAGTATATAGAAAAGAAATTATTTCAGCCATATCAGAATTTGAAAAAATAGTTATTTGTTTTGTCTAATCGTCGTCTTTAATTCCAATTTATTTTGGAGACCGTTGTATTATTAATTATTTTTCTCAATACCTTGACATCACATTTCTCCTGCCAGTCTACAAAATCTCGTAGTCCAGCCAGATCTGTAGGAGTCCACATCCACTTCAGGACCTGATACAGATACAGATACAGATACAGATACAGATACAGATACAGATACAGATACAGATACAGATACAGATACAGATACAGAAACAGATACAGATACAGATACAGATACAGATACAGATACAGATACAGATACAGATGCAGATGAAGATACAGATACAGATACAGATACAGATACAGATACAGATACAGATACAGATACAGATACAGATACAGATACAGATACAGATACAGATTCAGATTTAGATGTAGATACAAACAAAGGTACAAATAAAGTATTCATGTGTACCATGTAAAAATGCTAAAAGGCAAAAATCCATCTTTTAACAGAAAAATAAATGTTATAAATAGCGTGCTAAAGCTTGATTAAAGTCCGTGACCTTTTCCATCATTTCCCATCTAGCTAGCTAGCAGTCTAGTACTGTAGATGTACTCACAATGCATGGAATGCTAAAGATAGGGTTATAACAGATTTATTCATAGTCTTTGGGGGGGGGCAATGATTACCCCCCCCCACTTCATCTCCTGTATTACAGGTTTCCCTGCCATATATATATATATAACCCTATTCATATAGAAATATTTATACTACAACCTTGACCCCCCCCCCCTGTATTGTTAGGCTAGGAGCTGAGGGTTGGGTGGGATGGAATTTGTATTAAAATTCTTGAAATGACACTCAGATCCTGTTCCTGAGTTACGACGTTGTTCCGCCAGAGTTTGAATTAGTTGAAATCCCCAACTTTCCCTCGTGGGTTTAAAGTCACAGGAGGGATAAATTTATATATTAGGACACTCTTCTACTGTCTACTGTCTATACTGTCTACTGTCTATACTGTCTACACTCCCTGCAATATAATGAATACCAATGCCTCCTACAGAGGAATATCTAACACGGAATCTAATTTAGAAAATGAATTTTTAATTATTAAATAATATGTTGAATCATGAATCGAAACAGGAACTGAAAGGAACCATGTGCATTAATTTTAGTAAACTTCAGAGAAAGGATTCAGTGTTGAAGATGTGACGACAGATTACCCAGAGTGTGGATTTCCACAGAATTTAAATCTGTGCCACACCAGTATCTACCAAATTTTTCTTCAAAATTTAAATTTTTTTCTTCAAATTTTCATAAAAATTTCACGGGCAACGACGGGCACTTCAGCTAGTTTGTTAAGACGACCAAAAGGTATTTATAAATAGTAAATTGCATTTTGAAAATTACAGGCTACGGATAAAAATGACAGACTATAAAATTCAGAAAAAAAATTACAGACTAGATGAAAATCAAAGACTGAAGATGAAATTACAGACTTTAGATGAAGATTACAGACTGCAGATGAAGATTACAGACTGCAGATGAAGATTACAGACTGCAGATGAAAATTACAGACTGACGACGAAAATTACAGACTACAGATGAAAATTACAGACTGCAGATTAAAATTACAGACTACAGATGAAAATTACAGACTACAGATGAAAATTAAAGACTGCAGATAAAAATTACAGAAGAAGACAAAAATTACAGACTGCAGACGAAAACAAAAGACAACAGATAAAAATTACAGACTGCAGATGAAAATTACAAACTGCAGATGAAAATTACAGACTGCAGATGAAAGTTACGAACTGCAGATGAAAATCACAGACTGCAGACGAAAACAAAAGACAACAGATGAAAATTACAAACTGAAGATGAAAATTACAGACTGCAGATGAAAGTTACGAACTGCAGAGGAAAATCACAGACTGTAGATGAAAATTATTGACTGCAGAGAAAAATTACAGACTACAGATGAAAATTTTAGACTGCAGATGAAAATTACAGACTATAGTTGAAAGTTACGAACTGCATATGAAAATCACAGACTGCAGAGGAAAATTACAGACTGAAGACGAAAATCACAGAAAGAAGATGAAAATTACAGACTTTAGATGAAAATTACAGACTGCAAATTAAAATTAAAGACTGAAGACGAAAATTACAGACTGCGGATGAAAATTGCAGACTGCGGATGAAAATTACAGACTTTAGATGAAGATTACAGACTGCAGATGAAAATTACAGACTGCAGATGAAAATAAAATACTGCAGATAAAAATCCCCGACTGTATGACTAATTCGATTCCAAATGATTTAAATCTCCAAATTTTGACAACGAAAGAACTTAGATGATTTTTTGAGAAAGGGATGACTCATGAACCAGTGAACACCTTCTAAATGCAGTTTTAATATCTCTAAAATTCAAAGAAATATTCTGAAATCTGGCAACAGCGGTTTACCAACCCTTTTGCAATTCGTCCAACTCGACATGGGGGGAACCGGTTTAAATGATATATAATTTCAGATTCTTAAGACCCTAGAGCCAAATTCATGGTAACCCAAGGTTATTTGTCTAGAAGTAAACAGCTAGCACAAATAGTTCGTAATTATTGAAATAGCAAAGATTTTTTATCGCCCTCGTTTTTAGAATTGGTCTTTGTTTAAAAAACTGCTGACAGAATTGCAAAAAGTTTTTGATTATATCCAAAAAAGCATGATTTTGTCTTGTGCACAGCTAAGAAAAATTTGCGGATTGTTTATTAAAATGTTCGCGGATTTATGAAATTCTGACGGAAGATACTAACTGAAGTGCCTAGCATTGCCCGTGGAATTTCAAAACACATTGGAAAAAAGATTTTTTAGGCTTTGTCACCCCCAGGGTACTCATGGGTTCCCTCAAAAAATTCAGCCAATTTGGTCCAGCCGTTTGCCCAGCTATAGCGAACTTATATATGAGCGAAGAGCTTTATTATATAGATATATCAACAGTTTTATAAATAGATACATAGAAATTAATCATTAATATATAGATATATTGAACTTATTGGTAGGTTATTAAACTCATCAATAGATATATTAAACTTATTGTTGGATATATGAAACTGAATAGTAGATATATTAAACCCATTGATATATATATATATATCTAACCTCCAGTTCAGTAACGAAGTAAACATCATTATGTTCAGTAAGAACCTCATCCATCCAATTAGCAAGTTCTCGAGAAAATCCAGGGTTTCCCTAAAAAATAAAGTTTTTTTTCAGTTTTTCATTGAAAGAATTGATAAAATTCAAAATAAATGTATTTTTTAAAGATGATTACTCGTTGAAAATTATAAAAGAAAGTTTTAAACATTTTAATTAAAAAGATAAATCACCTTGTGATTTTTAAGTTAAAATTAAATAATATTCAAACATTTGAACAGAATTATACATATAAGTATAAATGAAATTTATTCTTAAACATTATACCGAAAGCCATGATGAATCGAAGCTAAGACTGAGAGGAGCTTTGTTTGTTTGATAATGACGATTGAAGTTATGACGAATCATTCGGCCAAACTGATCCCGGTCATAGATATTAGAACAAGAGGACACAAGATGACATCCAGATAGTCTCTCATCAAAGGTGGGATCATCTCGTCTGTCCAGCTCATTGATCGGCATCTCCCAGATATTGTGTGCTTTACTCGGACAATTTTGCGCATTTCCGTGACATTTGTGCGGCATTCTGTACAGCAGGGAGTAGGGCCAGATGGGAACACGACCCAACGGGGCAGTGATCGAAGAATCATACAAGAAAAATTGATCCTCCATCATGTCAAACTGTACATTTCCACCAACCCGGAGATACGGGGCTCGAACACCGTTTACGCTTCCCTCTGTGATATTTGCGAATCGTTCAATGATTAATCGGCTGCCGGCCATCTCGCCAAACCAGTCGTTGTAGGATCCTCGAGTCCAGTACTTTGGGCTGTCCTTGTTAGTGATTGAGAAGACTCCAATCTCATGCCCAACTCGATGTAGCTCCTGGACTGCAGAATAGTTGGTGTACTTGTGGGATACAAAGAAGGTTCCCTTCGCCTAATATAAACAATTTGTTAAAATATTTCAATTCTCAATCGAAGGCATTGATTACACAACTCATTTTCTAATTTTGTAATCTCTATATCTATGCAACCTGGGGGTGTAAACTTTGTCTATTTTCTCTAGCAAAATTTACATTTGGAAATATCCAAGGTCTACAACATTCGGTTGCAAAGACATAAGAATTGGAAACTAAAGCTTAGTTCCTATTAAAGTTTGAGATGAGTAATCAGTTCCTTTAAACTTTTAAATGAGTAATCAGTTCCTTTTTCAGATTTAAGATGAGTAATCAGTTCTTTATTAATATTTGAGATGAGTAATCAGTTCCTTTAAACTTTTAAAATGCAAATGGCACAAAATACAAATACAGCTATGTAGTTTGTTGCAGTGCATGACTTGACAAAATAATATCCATGTATTAAGAATAAATTTCCTGAATTTGATTTCTCACATGAAATTATTTAAAATTAGCACACAACGTTTAGATTAAAGAATAGTACACAACCTTCAAATCTGAATTATGTGCGGTATCTTTATCTCAAAGCAAGCATTGAAAATCTCACGAAATTTATTTGTATCTTCAAGAGCAAGAGAAAAATATAAGCTATTTTTCCAGAGTTTTTTTGACACTAGCACTTTTCCTGACAAATTTCTTTATTTATTTCAATTTTTTGAAATGTCTACATTAGTTTTCAACAAATCAAACTCTGGAATTAAAAAATCATTTTGTTACAAAAATAAATGTCCTGGTTTAGTAAAGTCAGAAAGCCTTAAATTTCAAACCCATTTTAAATGTATATTCTCAGAATTTTCTATTTAACTACCAAACATTGACGGTCACTCCCTTTAATATTCAATACAGCCTGGACAAATTTTGAGCTATTTAGTTTAGCGTGGTTGGCTTACCGTGCATCCATTAGGGTTTAATCTCCCCTCTTTGAATATCTCCTGATAGATGGGAATATTATTGTTGTTAATGGCGCCGTTGAAGGTGATGGTGATCATCTGAGGGACATTTTCCTTCTCCAAACCATCTTAAAAAATCAATAATTAAATAAATTTGTTTGTATCCAACAAACGTTGGCTAAGATCGGGCCCAACATTTCTGGACGGTCAATTATCCTCCTCCAAAAATCATTGAATTTGAAAATTTAACAATCAAAACAGAAAAATCTACGAAATTAATCATACGGAAAAACAATAAAAAGTAAAGAAGAGGACTGGAAAGCGTTCTAAACGTCTAGTTAAAGTTTAAAAATTGATTTTGAAGTTTTAACATGGTGTATACTGTATGAGTGGATGAGAGATTTCAATGGCCACGAATCTTTAACCACCACGATCTAGAGTTTAAATTAGTTCTTAATTAGTTATAATCATGTAAATACTTTTAAATGATGTAGCAAGCTTCTTTCTTCAACTGCGGAGAATAACAAAGGAATTAAGATTGCCACAAACTCTTATATTCTAATCTATATATCTTCGCAACCCAATGTCGTAGACCACAGATTTTTAAAACTATGAATTCTTATAGGTCTAATCATCTGAGTCTGAAATATCAAAGGTTTACACAATCAGATTGTAAAGATATAGGAATTAGAAAATCAGAGTTTGTGACAAATTCCTTTATGAAACGGAAGAAAATGTTGAGTAGTGGTCTATCAAAAAATATCATACTTTAACCCTAAACAGGATGGTGGGGAACGTTTGGCGCCCCCCTCCCCCTGTAGTTTTTTGTCCATGCACTCTCATTTTTGACACTAGCACAGTGAAATTTTTTGACTTTTAATGAATAGTATTTTAAATGATTTTTTGTAAACAATTTTTTTTAATTTATAGGATAGGGTACAGGGCAGAAAAATGTCCGTTCTGTGAAAAAAAATCTAAAATAGCCCATAACATTTTTATGACTAAAGCTACAGATCTAAAAAAGCACTTGAAAAAGGCATGTAGAAACATGTGTCACACTTTGATATTTGTTTAAAACAAAAAATATTTTTTTCACTTTTTTTACCCTTTTTAGGCATTTTTTTCAACCCTTCTCTAGGACCCAAACTATTAAAGTTATCGGTCTAATTTTTTTTCTATGAGCTGGCCTTGAAAAATTTGGCTTTGAACATGCATTTCAACCCTATACATATTCTCTAAGGCCTTTTTCTAAAAGGGAGGGGGTGCCAAACGCCCCCCCTCAGGCTATACATAGATTTAGACCCCCCAGCCATCAAAGGGTTAAGCAAGTAAACAATGAACATAAACTACAAAAAAAAATCAAAGAAAAAAATAAGTTTTGCAAAAAAAAGTAGATTAGATTTGATTAAATTGTTTTTTTTTCATCTTGGAAAAAAAAATTCCAAATCCTTCTTTGATTTCCGTGAATTATTTCCAAAATGAATTTCAATTTCAAGCTTTAAAGATATTCCGGAAATCAGGAGGAAGCACCATAATTCAATCAAAACATTAAATGCAAAATGTTTTCAGAAAATCTAAATCTTAAAAATCATCACTTCGCACCACGAGTCATGCATTTCACACACTACGGTTGAAAAAATGTACTACAGAGGATCTGCAGCTGCTTCATATTTTTTTATTTGAATCAGTTCTAAAAACTTAATTTTGGATTTTAATTTATTTTTGATAAATAGATTTTAAAAAGAAACATAATCTTGTTTAGGAATGTGGCATGTATGTTAGACGACGTTTATTTAAAGGGTCTGTAAAAGAAATGCCACTTTATAAGTGACCTTGCATTTATAAAGTGGCATTTTCAGTTGACAACGGTACACTTTAAAGCTTTGTCTGATAAAGTATGAATTAGATATTAATATTTTTAATTTTGAAAAATTATTATTTTCAATTGTGGTTTCTCTACAAAATTGATTTGCGCAGGAAAACCATGGATTATTAAGACTAAACATTTTTCCATATTATTGATAATATACAGGTTTGAAGGGTACCGTTGTGAATCAGGCATGTCCCTCTGTAATAAATATTGTAGTGAACCCCATATTTGTAAACCTAAACATACCTATACCTATATATATATATATATATATATATTACATTATAACATTATCTGTACCCTAACTCTGTTCATTGATTTCTGAGAACTACGTTCATTAGTTTGACGACAATTAAATTTAACATTGATTTAACATGTGCCATAAAACCCAAGATATATATCAATTGGACAAGATACTTTGCTGCATTACGTTTAGACACACTAATTCTCATGTAGAGAGCAGTTGTATCTGTACGATACACATTGAAGAATACATTTAGGGTCATATCTGGATTGATGTACAGACTGAAGTATTATTGTAGAACATTGAGTTTAGAGCGAGTTTTATGTGTATAATACACACTGAGAATACAGAGAGTATCTGAAGGATAAATACTGAGAATACAGAGAGTATCTGAAGGATAAATACTGAGAATACAGAGAGTATCTGAAGGATAAATACTGAGAATACAGAGAGTATCTAAACGATACATACTGAGAATACAGAGAGTATCTGAAGGATACATACTGAGAATACAGAGAGTATCTAAACGATACATACTGAGAATACAGAGAGTATCTAAACGATTCATACTGAGAATACAGAGAGTATCTAAACCATACATACTGAGAATACAGAGAGAATATATAACAATACATACTGAGAATACAGAGTATCTAAACGATACATACTAAGAATGCAGAGAGTATCTGAAGGATACATACTGAGAATACAGAGAGTATCTAAACGATACATACTGAGAATACAGAGAGAATATATAACAATACATACTGAGAATACAGAGTATCTAAACGATTCATACTGAGAATACAGAGAGTATCTGAAGGACACGATCTAAATACAAAAAACGTTCTTCCCTCTTTAAATGAACTGTCACATATAACAAACTGCAATTTCTTTCAATTTTTTAATACAAATTTCAATAAAGATGTTTTAAAAGCGTTGAAAGCTTTCGTGCAACTTTTTTAACTTTGCAAAACAAAACATAAAATGATATGGCTTATTATAAATTATCTGAATCATTTATTTTATAAACATTTTATAATTAAAACAATTTAAGCATAAATGGAAGTTAATATTTATATATTGACATATAATTATATACTTTTCAAATATGTAAATGTATATTTAAATCAATAGCTAAACAACTCCTTCTGTCCACAAACTAGATATTCAAATCAGTTGATGAAGCGTGATAAAATTAGATTAAAACAATTGACCTTGAATTGGAATTGGATTGTTAAATTACAGATCTGTCATTAAATCATAATAATGATAATGTATAAGTTTATAATTTAAAGTACAATAACGACGTGTACAAAATTATAAATACAACATAAACTAAAGTGAATTGGACAAAGATTCAAATCTGATATGTTTTTAATCAAATCTGATATGTTTTTAATCAAATCTGATATGTTTTTAATCGAAACTTCCTTTAAAAGAGCAATTCAAACCAACAAAAGTGTTTAGAATTTCTCATATGTAACCCTATAAATTTTTATTTCTAATACGAAGGTGTAAAATCAAAACTAAAGGAGCTACGATGTCACAAAGTTGTACCAATAATTTCGCATTAATTTGGCCTTCTCTAAGTGGCTTATTAACAGTGAAAACAATCTTATTTCTAATGACAAATGAAATTTTTATAGAAAAAAAAATATCGTTCTCATACTTTTATTTAACAAAAACAACAGTTTTATTTTTTTCTTGTAAAAAAGCATGAATAAGAAAATGAAATTCTTTCATAATTTCTAAATCTGTGACGCCCTGTACTACAAAGATCAGATTGTACTTAGACTGGTTTTTCAAGATTCTAGTTTATACAATTGTCCCACATTTTGACCTTGTTCCTGACCTTGATTTTAAACCTTCTCTCTTGACCGTTTTTTTCAGGGATAAAATATTTACAATTTATAAAAAATATTTATTTTCTAGTAAGGTTTTCATTGTCTGTTTTTATCTAAAATTTCTGTAAATAAAAAGTCATATCTGAGACTCAAAGTTACATTTTTTCGTAGTTTACAGATAAAAATATATAAAATTGTGAATCCGGTTCGGAAACTTACATTTTTCCGTAGTTTACAGATAAAAATATCTAAAATTGTGAATCCGGTTCGGAAACTTACATTTTTCCGTAGTTTACAAATAAAAATGTCTAAAATTGTGAATCCAGTTCAGAAACTTACATTTTTCCGTGGTTTACAGATAAAAATGTCTAAATTTGTGAATCCAGTACGGAAACTTACATTTTTCCGTAGTTTACAGATAAAAATGTCTAAAATTGTTCATCCGGTTCGGAAACTTACGTTTTCCGTAGTTTACAGATAAAAATGTCTAAATTTGTGTATCTGGTTCGGAAAATTACATTTTTACGACGCGTCTTGTAATAAACTTTCAGTTTCAGAAATATCATAAAATTTAAAATAATATCCTTCTGTTTTAAACTTAGCTTATACACAGTACTTGGGTTACAATTTGACTTTTGACTTTTGAGTTTCATGAATTGAAAAGGAACTGATTACTCGCATCTAATTCAAATGATCCAAGTTCTCTATATATTTACTTCCAAATTGTGTGAGCTTTTAATATTTCAATCTTTGACTACTTGTACTAGCAGTATTTATAGTTTGAAATATGTAAAGTCTGCGACATTATATTCTATTTGTTGAAACTTCTTAAACAATTTTTTTGTAAAAAAGAAAAGAAAAATATCAAGAAAATTATCTTAATTGACACGAAGTTGAACCAAAAAATAAAATTTGTCAAATCTGTTTAATGTATTCCAAGCTTTTTTCACAAGGCACCCTTTAGAATCTTTGTATGGACGAAATTAGAGTAATCCCTGTTTTTCTCTTCTAATTTCTAAGTTGCTTTGCAGATTTATTTAGCAAAGACAATGATGAAACTGAAGAAAATATTTTCAAGACAGAAAAACGACGATATCTCCTTCATTTCCAGCACGACAAATAGCTTTATTGCTTTTAATTGAGACGTATTCGAAATTTGGTTCACAGTCCCTTTAAGCATATTTTACTTACTTGGTATAAGTGTTCCGTCTGCAGAGCAGTAACATTCAGGTAGGAAGCATTCATTAGTGTTACATTTAGGAGCAGCATTAGGGTCCTCATCTACACCACAAGCTACCTAAATATATATATAGAGATTAGGAGCAGCATTAGGGTCCTCGTAAACACCACAAGCTACCTAAATATATATATATAGATTAGGGGCAGTATAAGGGGCCACATATATTCTTTTAGTTACCTAAATATTAAACAGTTCTTGTTTTACTGATCAAGGAGTTCAATAAGTCTTGATGGACAAATCAAAATGTTTTTATTAAACAAAACAAAAGTATTTTTTGTCAAGGGGCTTCTTTAGAACCTATAAAAATAGTTACAAAAGTACACGATCAATTTTATCTTAATCTATATATCCAGAATTATTGACACTTTGACAATATGAATATTATTCATATCCAATAATCCAGTAGAGAATCAATTATTTAAAATAATTTATAAATAAAGGTTTGTTAATCGTTTGATATAATCGGATATAAAGTTTATATATACAAGAAGAAAAGACCTATATGCTCCATAAGTCTGAATGTTTTTGAAAAATGTAATTTAAAATTGTTCTTGATTTGTAACAAATAGTTTATTATGCCGAATAAAATATCAAAAATTTTAACTTAACTCTTATCTCTCATATTTGTAATAAAAAAATCAAATTTACAATAAGATATATATCTAACCTATTTTACCTATTTCTAAGAATGCGAATTGCGCTCGTTACAATCAAAGAGAATAGAATATATATTAGAGTGGAATTTAGAAAATTCCTCGGTATGAATTTTTTCGTCCCTTTCAGTCTGAAAGGGAGTTCAAAGTGTACAAATCATGTAAATGTTCACAAATTATATGCAGTAGAGTACATTAATACAGTATGTTCCATAAACTATCAATTTGAATTTCGAAATTTTTAAAGCTTTTAAATAAACTTTATAAAAAGAATTAGGTTAATAAAAACATCATTTGATTTATAGTTATAAAGGAAAATCATCGTTTGTAAAGTGAAAGGCAAAGAGTCTATGTGAAATCATCATTGGTCAATTATGAAACCAGTCTATTTCATAATTTGGTTTTCTTTTAATATTAATTTTAGATTTTCTATAAAATGATGTTCCAGGGCCCAAAAGGTTATAAAGCACAAATATGCAAAGTACACCTGCAGTATGGAAACAGTACAACAAAATGGCCTTTTTACACTTTTTTCTAGTAAATTCCAGTCTAATGTATATTCTATTCTCTTTGGTTACAATAGACTAAATTTTGGGTGAACATTCATGTTACACGTAATTTCGCTTTCTCCCATCAACTGTCAAAGAGGATGTAGACATAATTTCAATCGACCTTCCATTTATAGAGTGGCATGTCTGGCTGTCCATGATAAAGGAATAAAATATCCTTGGCTTTTTAACTAAAAATTAATTATTTTAAAGAGTATTTTGCGTACTTATGCTTCAGTTCAGAGGTAAATAATTATCTAAATTTAATACTTCAAGATAAAAAAGTCCCTGCAATAATAGCGGAAGATTTGCGTGCAAATTATTAAAGTCATTCGCAAAAAGGAACAGCTGTTTGAACTTTTAATCAGAATTTTCAAATCACTCTGTTTATTGTTTGATGTTTAGCGTGAGTCTGTTTAGTCCGAATCATCTCTAAATATTTCCTTCTTTAATTTTTAAATATCTTGCAGAATATCAGAGTGAAATCAAATATCTTGCAGAATATCAGAGTGAAATCTGGAAAAGGATGCGTCTATCTCATTTCACACAAAAAGCGACTGTTGGGTAATTTCAATTTAAATCAATGCTTACCCGATTCAAGGCAGAATCCCTTTATTGGTGAAAAAATAATGAATATATCCTGTCTACTGAAACATGTATAATTCTATAAATCTTTTTCCTGTCTTAAATGATGCTTAAATACGCTTGTCACGTTTAGAAAAAACAATGAGCACTTCGTCTTGTTGCTTATAAAAAGGTTGAAAGGAAACCTTATTAAAGGGAGGGTTACTTGAGATTACGTACACAGATCCTTATCTCATTATCCTGGGTTATTTTTTTCAAAATAATTTTTATATTAAAAAGTTATATTTTATTTATTCAAGCTCAGTAGTAAAAGATGTTTTTGGTTCAAATACTTTGACAAAAGACATTATTTTTAAATTACCTCATCTGAACCATCCTTGCAGTCCGGATTTCCATCGCAAAAAAGGACTTTATCAATACACTCCTGATCTCCACACATTAGCTGACCGTCAGGGCATAGCGGCTCATCGGTCACAAGGATGGGTCGAGATAGCCGGGGTTTAGTCAGCTGATCACAGTTGTCAACTCTAATAAATGCCGCGTCTTTTTATCTTTTAAGAAAATCTGCGAAAAAAATGATATTGGTTTATGAAAAGAAAGGAAACGATAAAGAAAATATGAAAAATGAACTAATTGCTCGTCTCAAACTCAATTTTCATGATCCCTATCTTTTTGCAAAAAACAGATGGTGTAAACCAGTGATATTTAAAATATCAAAGGTCTGCTCCCCGCCTCCATCAAGTTGCAAAAATAAAGTAAAAGTATAATTTAAGGCGAGAAATCAGTTTCTTTTGATAAAAAGTTTTATAAAAAGACGAATCAACTTTCTTGGCTGCCCAGTCGCAGACCTGGCCCTCCAGGTCGAAAAATAGTCCGGTTGGACATCTCACCGCAGCTAGTGAATGCCCGCCGACAAAATCATTGGCAACACACCGGACCACATCTCTGAAAATATATTCATATCAATATTTTTTATTTGAAAATCACTATTCTTGGCAAAATGATGGAGGATTTATGGTAAAATATTGCATCATAAATTTTTCAAAAATGTTTACAAATATGACTTATAACAATTTTACTAAAAAGTTTTATGAATGAATAATCTATTTTTTACTTTTAAATAATCTGAACCTAAATATTTGTCAAAAGTTTAGAATTTTGCAAATGTCTTACAATTTTCTACTTATGATGTATCTAAGAAGTCAGTATGAATTTTATTACTGCATTGTTCCGAGCCCGAGAAAGTAGGCAGCCGCAAAAAATAACACTTCTTACGAAACCATTTATCGTATAAAAATCTATCCCTTTTTTAACTTTTGTATAAAAATTAAATATGATTAAGAAAAATCTCTTTAATCTCTTTACAAATAATCTAATTTTGTATAAAAATCTAATCTTTGTAAAAAAAATTTTTTTTAAACATTTGTAAACAAAAAACTGTCAAATATTTAAATAACACAATCTGATTTAATTAATTCAAAAAAAAGTCGCCATTGAGAGTAACGTAAGAGGGACTATAAGCGTAATTCAAAGTGAACCTAATTTTATATCAGTGACTGACCACGACAAATCTCACCAAGTCGGGTCAAAATTTGAACGTTAGACTCTAGACTACGCATTTAAATCATCTATATTTTCTTGTGAAGGTCGATAAATGCATCCAGATGGTAACAGTAAAAAGATCAAAATCGTTAAAAAAAACTTTTAAGAAACATTTAACCATTTGCGTTTAAAAATCCTAATTTTATTGCAAAAATTATTTGTCTATTTTCAAAAAAAAATTATCATTGTCCATCTTTTGTACAAAGCTATCTTCTCTGTGCAAGAATTAGGTGTTTATCCTGCGTGCAAAAAGTACCTATCCTATGTGCAAAACCCTTCTACCCTTTGAGCAAAAACCTTGAGTGTGATGTAAGCTCTTCAATATATAATGTGCATCAGATGCAAAGAGAAACTGAGGTGAAAATGCATCCCCAGAATGCACAGAGGGGAGTACAGGGAAGGTAAGTATACACTGTACGGTAAGGATGGTACAGGGAAGGTAAGTATACACTGTACGGTAAGGATGGTACAGGGAAGGTAAGTATGCACTGTACGGTAAGAATGGTACAGGGAAGGTAAGTATACACTGTACGGTAAGGATGGTACAGGGAAGGTAAGTATGCACTGTACGGTAAGGATGGTACAGGGAAGGTAAGTAAGCACTGTAAAATAAACTTAAGATAAATCGTTCTAAATTTGGTTTTATTGGCGGTTAAAATAAAATTGACCTTTTTGTAAACAAAGATATGTCGATTATAGGTTCCTGGTACAGGGTTGCTCACAAAATATGATGCATTTTTGCCTTTTTCCTGATCCATTGTGATAAAATTGGAAAGCTGAATTAATACAAAACAATTAAAAAAATTCAAACTCTCAATATTTGTAACTAACCCTGTTTTTTTCCATATTTTTCCAAGGTTTTTAAAATTGATTAAATCGTTTAAATTCAACTTATGGACGAATTTCAATCTGAAACTGAATTCTCTCTTTTCACTCTAATTTTCTCTACTAAATATCTTTGCAACCTGATATAGTAAACCTTTAATATTATTAACTGACAATGTTGCCAGAATAAATTGTTTCAAAGGTTTACACCCTCAGGTTGTAAAGATTTTGCGATAAGAAAATTAGAGTTAAAAATTAATCTATTCTGAAACTTTTTAATCTACATTATTGTGATCTATATATAGCGTTTATAACCTCGTATCTAAAAATGTATTTTGTATTTAGATTATAATTGATGTATAATGGTAAACTATATTGATGCTATGGTTTGAAACTAGTCCTATCTGGATTTTAAACTGCACACAAAAACTAATTTTAAAATAATTTTAAAAGTTCAAACCAAATAAATCAAATCAATCAAATCTACCAAATTAGTCCTAGAAATACATTTCCCCAGCAAACAATATCAACAAACATAAATACAAATCCAAACTAAATAAACTACGCAATTCCTCACCAATTAATAAAACCAATCCAACACTCTCTACTAAACCCAACAATTTCTTCAAACAAACTGAATCAGCCAATCCGAGATATCAAACCAAACCAAGAAAATTCAAACAAAGCAATAAAAAAAAGTTTTGTTTTATTCAGTTTTTTTATCCTTAGAATTCTTAAAAAGAATAATAATCTCAAATTATTTTGATTTCATAATCAAACTTACGATTAAGGATTTAAACAAAAAGATTAGCATTTAAAAACCGACCTGCAGTTTGATTCTGCTGTTAGTCTGAAGTATTCATTAGATGGTCGGTTTTTACAATATTCTTGAACAACTCGGGCATAATTATCCACTTCAGTTTGTCTATCCTCACTAAAATCTATACTGTTTGACTGTGGAAGAGGTAGTACATTATGTACACAAACAAACAAGAATATCACTCTTTCTAAGCCCATGATCACACTTGACTAGAGATACTCTGACGGAAACCCTGTCTACAGATCCAAGAACTCGGAAGCCCTGGTGTGCGGAGCAGGAAGGGGTTGGTGCGCCGGATACCCACACAGATAAACTGAGCTGGGAGACCTCAACGCAACCAGAAAATAAACTCGCGCGTCGAGTTTCTACAATCCGCTGAGGGATAATGGACAGTGGACGCACCTAGAGATGGACAATAGACAATCGACAGTTTAGACATCGGTCACTCTACAGGAATGGACAAGGAACAATTAAAACTATAAATCTGAAAAATGGACGCTTCATTTTAAATTTACAATTTCTTTCCTTCACGGATTTAAAATGCTGAAGAAATATTTTGAATCTTTAAAAGTAATTTCTTGTAGCCTCTTATTATTTTAACATTAGATGAAAACCAGATGAAACAAAAAATTGAAAATGACGGATTGGAATAACCAGAAACAGATAATAGTGCAACCCTACTAAACCTAAAAATTGACAATAGGCCAAAAAAAAACTACAAATTGCAGTGACTGACATTATGTTATTGACTTATTGATGGCATGATTAATAATTGATTCACTAATTTATCAATTCCTTAAACTTTTGATTGAATAAATCATTAAATTATAGATAAAAAACTTTAAAAACTGAGTTTTGATTTAAATAAATGAGAAGTGTAATGGGATGTGAGGAGGGTGCATGAAGTGTACATATGATGGGATGTATGTATGTGAGTGTAAATGTGTTTGATGTGTGTGTATGTGCAAGGTCGCGGAGCGACCATTGGCACTCAGCTGGATCCTCATATACACTCATACAGACGGGGGAGAGAAATTTGTTCAACCTGCTAGTAGTTAGTGGTCAGTGGTCAGTGGTCAGTGGTCAGTGGTCAGTGGTCAGTGGTCAGTGGTCAGTGGTCATAAGTCAATGGTCAGTGGGCATGTGGTAATAAGTCAATAGTTAACGTTCGCTTATGAATAAGTATTGCTCAGAGTTGTGTAGAAATTTTTTTAATGACATTAAGTAGATATATCAAATATCTATATTTAATTAAGTGGTGCAATCAGTGTGAAAACTGGTCTTTGGTGGTCGGTGGTCGTTGGCTGGTGGTCAGTGGTCAGTGGTCATATAACTAAAGTCAATGGATAAAGGTCAGTGGTGAATAATTACTGCTCAGAGTTGTGTGCAATTTTAAAGATATTAAGAATATATATAAAATCTCTATATTTAATTAGGCTTCATTCGATAAATATTAAATATGTCTAGGCTGAAATGTACTCTTTGAAGAAATGCTAATTTAATCTTTCTTTATTAATTGTAAATAAATCGCAAATATTTTCTCGTTTTCCTTGCCCGATTTCTCTATCATTGATTTTGTAACCAGGTCTTGCAGGTTGAAAAACTTCTCTACCCTAGTATGGTCCCAGCCCCCTGTGCTGCCTGAATCCAACCCAAACAAAAAATCTTTCCCCAAAAGTTTCTCCATTGGAATTTTTTCCAAGCTTCCATTCTTCTTAGGCACTCTAAGGCATCTGATGTAGCCAGGGGTAAACACAGTACATCTTTACCAGGGGTAAACACAGTACATCTTTACCAAGGGTAAACACAGTATATCTTTACCAGGGGTAAACACAGTACATCTTTACCAGGGGTAAACACAGTACATCTTTACCAGGAGTAAACACAGTACATCTTTACCAAGGGTAAACACAGTACATCTTTACCATGGGTAAACACAGTACATCTTTACCATGGGTAAATACAGTACATGTTTACCAAGGGTAAACACAGTACATCTTTACCATGGGTAAATACAGTACATCTTTACCAGGGGTAAACACAGTACATCTTTACCAGGGGTAAACACAGTACATCTTTACCATGGGTAAATACAGTACATCTTTACCAGGGGTAAACACAGTACATCTTTACCAGGGGTAAACACAGTACATCTTTACCAGAGGTAAACACAGTACATCTTTACCAGGAGTAAACACTGAACAACCTTACCATGTAAACATGTCTAGGAGTACAAAATAGCATAAGCAAACTAGCGCAATAAAATAAAAGCCCAAGGGGTTGCAACACTCGACCCAACCTTTAAAAGTGTTTTCAACTTTTCATAGAATAATACTGGATCTATGTGAGTACATGTCTTATCAGAGGTTTATTTGAACAGTTTATATTACAATGTTTTCTGAAAAATCCCAAAACTAAACTTGCATAAAATTCTGATATTATTCATACTTTATCCCATGATGCAACGAAGCAAAGGCTTAAATTAAAAACTGCATAATTTATTCAACATTATATCATAGCCGACGTCAGACCCTTGTTTGCTTTGTGAAAAAAAACCGGTTCTTCAAGGGATCTTGGTAAACTTTCAGAGTTGATTGTTACTTCTTACTACGGACCATTGTCTGTATGGGGTTTATGCATTTCAGGATAAAAGAATTTTTTTCTTTTTTCTACACTATTTTAGATATGATATGAAAATTTTACATATTACATAAAATTATGAGTGCACAGTATTTATGTACAATGAAGAGTGTACACTATTTATGTACAGGTTGTCCCACATTAAATTATACCGCGTCAATGGGTCTAAATTACGATTTGGGGGACAAATCAGAAAATATAAGAAGAATGAATCATTTGAAAAATTTGATAAGGCTAATAGAAATTTTTCCTTGAAGAAAATGCTAGATTTTTCGAGTATTTTATATGTATTTTGGCGTTAAAGATTGGAGAAAGTCTAATATGATATGGGACGCTCTGTATAATAAAGAGTGTACACAATTTATGTACAATGAAGAGTGTACACTATTTCTGCATAATAAAGAATGTGCACAATTTATGTAAAATGAAGAGTGTACCATATTTATGTACAATAAAGAGTGTACACTATTTATGTATAATGAAGAGTGTACACTATTTATGTATAATGAAGAGTGTACACTGTTGATGTATAATGAAGAGTGTACACTATTTATGTATAATGAAGAGTGTACACTGTTGATGTATAATGAAGAGTGTACACTATTTATGTACAATAAAGATTGTACAATATTTATGTATAATGAAGAGTGTACACTATTTATGTACAATAAAGAGTGTACAATATTTATGTATAATGAAGAGTGTACACTATTTATGTATAAGGAAAAGTGTACACTGTTGATGTATAATGAAGAGTGTACACTATTTATGTATAAGGAAAAGTGTACACTGTTGATGTATAATGAAGAGTGTACACTATTTATGTACAATAAAGAGTGTAAACTGTTGATGTATAATGAAGAGTGTACACTAAGTATAGAGTGTACACTATTTATGTACAATGAAGCGTGTAAACTATGTACAGAGTAAGTACAGGATGAACTGTGAATCAGCATGTTCTGAGAATGTTAAACTGCACAACGTGAGGTTTCGCCTATATATTAGGATTAAACTCTGCTAAGTGTTAAGCGAAGGCTAAACTTTAAGGATATTGAATCAGTAAACCCCACACACACAATCCTTTAAAGAATTCTTAACACAGAATTTCGGGGAACTCCAGAGAATACGGAAATCAATAAATTCAGGTTCTTGGTGGTTGTGATTTTCCGTATTTTCATGGTTTTCATGGTTCTTCTGGTTTACCTAGTTCTCCTGGTTCTCCTGTGTCTCCTAGTTCTCCTGGTTTATCTGGTTCTCCTGGTTCTCCTAGTTATCCTGGTTTCCCTGGTTTTCCTGGTTCATTTTGTTTCCCTGGTTCTTCTTGTTTTCCTAGTACACCTTGTTCTCCTGGTTCTCCAGGTTCTCCTAGTTCTTCTTGGTTTCCTTGTTCTCCTTGTTCTCCTTGTTCTCCTTGTTCTCCTGGTTCTCCTGGTTCTCCTTGTTCTCCTTGTTTTCCTGATTCTCCTGGTTCTCCTAGTTGTCCTGGTTCTCCTGGTTCTCCTGGTTGTCCTGGTTCTCCTGGTTCTCCTGGTTTTCTTGGTTCTCCTTGTTCTCCTTGTTCTCCTTATTCTCCCTGTTCTCCTGGTTTTCCTGGTTTTCCTGGTTCTCCTGGTTCTCCTGGTTCTTCTGTTTTTCCTGATTCTCCTGGTTCTCCTGGTTCTCCTGGTTCTCCAGGTTCTGCTGGTTCTACTGGTTTTCCTGCTCCTGCTTCTCCCAAAAACTGCAGTACACTTTTTTGTAAACAAAGAAGGGAGGTGTTTTCTTGTGTACTTTCTTGGTCAACTCTACTCAATGTTGTAAGCAAGGTTAGATACTCTGGATGCGCTCCAATTTATGCAAATGTCGTCTTTTGTTGCAATGGAGACTCTAAAGCCTCAGATGACGTCACTGATACTAAAAATCATCACATTTAGCCAATATTATTTGTGCTAACAAATTTAAAGCTAAAAAATGCAATTCAAATTAAAGTTTTATTTTTGAGTTCGTTTATATTTAGTTAAAAATTAATTTTTATTTAAAATAAGCAGTGACCTCATATAAAGCTTTAGAGAGTCCATTGCTTTAAAGGTCGTCTTTACTTACATTGGAAAGCATCTAACCTTATTTATACAACCTTGACTCTACTGCACCTAGATTCCTTTATCAGATCTTTCAAATGTGATCAATGCAAAAGGAAATATTTTTCTTTACGGTTCGTAGGTTTAATAATGCAAAGTATTTTTAGCTGAGTCATTTTTCATTTAAACCTCTTTCTCTTTGATTTTATCTGAATTAAACGTATCCGTATATTTTCTAACTATGAAGGATGGATAGATGTATTCGTAAAATTATTAAAATCTGACATGAGAGTCACAATTGTTGAAAAAAAGTCGAAAAGAAATTCAAATATTTTGGGAAGAACTTGAAAAGTAAGAAAATAAGAAATTGGCTGGTTTCAACAGAAAAAATTGAGTTGACAATTTTTCTTAAGCTGACCTTTGAGTGGTTGGATACAAATCAGGACCTAACATTGAACCTTGAAGAACTCCTACCTTTATTCTGACAGAATAGATGAATAAACAGGTATTCAGATCATTCACAGATAAACAGATAGATAGATAGACAGACAGATAGATAAACAGACAGATAGATAAACAGACAGATATATACACAAACAGATTGATAAACAGACAGATATATAAACAAACAGATAGATAAACAGACAAAAAGATTAACAGACAGATAGATAAACAGACAGAGAGATAAACAGACAGATATATAAACAGACAGATATATAAACAGACAGATAGATAGACAGACAGATAGATAAACAGACAGACAGATAAACAGACAGATAGATAAACA